ATTTTAAAATAATTTAATTCATACAACTAATAAGCTGTGCAGAAGTAATAAATTACATGCCAGTGTGCTAGAGAGATTAAACCAATTACCTAACAGATTTAATGCAGCCAAAGTAATAACAGAACGAACTAAAAAAATGTGACAGCAATAAAAAGCAATGCGAAACAAAAGGAATACAAAGGAAGCCTTGAAATATGAAAATTTGTAACAGCAATCAAATTTTATTGAAGGCAAAGGAATGTAAATAACCTTGATTCAAGATATCACTTATATCAATGAAATATACACATCTGGGAATAATTCACTTACATCAAATATTCAGAAACATTGGATTTAAACATTTATTTTTTCATTATGGCATCCAAATATTTTGAAGTTTTGTCAATGTAAAACACATTAAAAATCAACTAAAGTTTGAAATAATAATTTAGAAACAATACACATCACAAAATTACAATCAATACTTGATACATAATGTGTTTTATATATTTTGAATATAAATAAATAATTACTACAAAAGAAACACTAAAGTTGAGATAAAATTAACCTTGGCCACTTTCACACTTGCATCAAGGGGGATCACATCACTTGCAGACACAAGAATTAACTGTACAAGGGTATTCGACTAAACACCAAAAGACGATTCTTCTGGCGCAACGCTGGATCTTGTTGCATGTTAGCAAACCATCTAGACAGGTGTTGGTATTGCTCTTTCTCCTGAAGAGTCAGACCCAACTGCAAGAAAGAACAATAGTACACACATTACCTAATGTTTATATTCTTATTTTGTACATATTGGCATACATAGATTTTCATTTTATCCATACAACCAAGTTAATTCTACTTTATATAACATATACTGGGATAGATTTTCAGTAATTATCTTCTTAATGCTTGAAGACACCAAATGCCATTGCATGATTTAAATAATACTTAATAAATATGTCTACAATAATAGCAGCGACATTATGCGACAAAGTCAAGACACACGTCATTCAAAGGTACATATATTTTCGTTATGTAATAAAGCATCATTTACAAGTATTTTTTTTCTTTTAAATTATAAGAATTATTGTAGTAAAGAAGATTATTTGTTTAGGACAAAATTTTTTATTCACACGTAAGCTTCTGCGGCTCGATTCGTCACTGCCCTGAGAAAGTCTGCGACATGTCAGGCGAAACGTCGGCCTCACTGCCAATGATGCAGCATTTTCCTGATAGCCAAGAATTTATAACATTTTTTATTACCGACTATCACAAAATTTTCTGCCAGAATCTTTTCAAATGATTGATTAACAGGCATATCATTAACCAAAGAGTATCTTACCGTATTTGCAACAATTGCAGGGGAAGCTTTTATCCTGGATTGAAAATAGCTCAGATATGAAATTGATGAAGAATTTATCCATAATAGCTTCATCCACGACTCAGGAGAAGGAATACATTCTAACAAAAGTGTCAAATGGAAGTAATTTAATTTACCCCTCACACTGTCCCACTACTCCACGCCGCATTCAATACTAAATATCATTCATTACTCAAATATGTTCTTCTCGTCACTCTCAACCACAATACTTCCTGTAGGAACAGATTTTCACCCTTGACCTTGAATTATCTGAAGCCTAAAACCTGAAATGCCTTTGATTCATTTTAAAATTTTGAAATGAATCACAGCGAGTTTTGCAGACAAATTTTGACTTCTAAAAATGCTGTCTATTTCTTCACCGTTTTTGAAACCGTTTCTGAAATACTGCAAGGATCCCACTTAAATCCTCCTTTAAAATGTAAGGGAGGTGGTTGGGGATGTAATTTCAGAATGAAAGTATCATATTGAAATACTTCATGTTAAGGAGAACAAATACAGAAACATTTTATGGAAATAGAATTATTGGTAGAAAAGGTTTTGCTGAACATACTTAAGCCATGAATATTATCCTAGTCAAATTATTTCTTGTATATGTGGCGAGTATTCAGCAAGCTCGTACAACAACACAGACACTTGTTGTATCTCCGAGAATGTTAGCATAGAATACTGTATTTGTTAGTGACAAATGTCAGACTAAAAGTTTATGCTTGTTACTAGGCAAAGTAATGGTGAGAGTCAAACTGAGAATGCAGTTTTCATTTGAACTTGTCTGCATCTATATTTATTTTTTGTGGCTTTTTGGATACAAGGAATACTTTTAAAGAACCACGTATAGAACTATTGATGCAACAGAATGGCTAAGACTATCTTGTACTAGTTAGTTTTCTAATTTCTTTGATAAGAGCTACCTTTTTGGTCTTGCTTCTATTGCCGTATAAAGTACATTTTTTTGAAATTTTCCTGATTTTTCAATTTCCTAAGTTACAACTAAAATATTAGTTTAAGAATATTGTAACAAAATTTTAAAATTGTCCTGCATGGAAATTTTTGTAAAAAAATAGCAGCCTTTACCACACCTCCCCTTGAGCCTTTATCTGCTGAAAATGAACTCTCAGTTAGGCAAATCTCCAAAAATTGAGGGTTTTGCATTAACTTATGATAATTAACGAGATTTTAAATAATGGAAAACACACAGAGAATGAAAATAGAATGTAACTAAAAAAGGTTATTGCTATTGTGTGAGATACATAATAAAATACAATTAAAGTAGTGTTTGGCAAAAAAAAATTTAATGTACTAATTATTCCTCAAGCTAGGCAGTATATATTAAAAAAAACTACCCTTTTGTTGTTTTTCTTATGTGTGTAATTAATCACAAAGAAACTACTTGTTTGACAAGAAAAAATTGAAGCAAATAATTAGAAATTACCTCCTTTAAGTAGCAAAGTATCATAAACTAAACTTCCTAATAAATGCAATCTTGTTTCTTTCAATACAGTAGAAAACATGGTACTTTTCTATAAATGAAATATACTCATTCATGGAATTTGGAATTGGAGAGAGTTCAATAAATTTAAATCAGTCACGGTCCAATGTGACCATTCATAATGAAAACTTCATTTCACATCTTTGTATTTTAGAGAATTTCTAAAAGTATACCAACAGATTTTCTCCATTTTCCTATTGCATAAATACCAGCCATGTTCTGAGAAGATGGTTGATTGACAATACACCAAGAGCACTGAAATTTTAAGTGGAAAAAAATGTAAATTTCCAGGTTTCAGTATTGCTGATGTTGGACTTTTAAAATATATGCCAGTCACACAGGTTCATGCTGAGAGATCTTTCTTTGCATTCAAACGGATTATGTCTCCTAATTGTCGCCAATTTGAAATGGTGATTCTTGCAAAGTTAATGGTAATATATTGCAACGCAAACTATTTAGAATGAAATGTATAGGTGTTGTAAATACATAAATCTAGTTTTACATTAAAATGTACATACTTGTTTTGTGCATTCAAGTTTACAAAATAATAAAAAAAATGTTTGAAACTTTTCTTTTTATTGTGTAACTTGACAGTGCCTTCGCTCTTCACATTTTCAGTCCCATTTTAAGCACATAAAAGATGATTTTTTAGTATCTGAACATCTGATATCTAGTTACCTCTGATTCAGAATCACTTTCTTTCACTTTTTTAGAGTAAAAGTTAGCACTTATTGAAAAAAAAAGTATTTCTTTGTTGGCTCAAATTTTCCAGAACCACCAGATTTTTAAATTGCTAGCAAACTTAATATGAGACTAAAGCAAAATGTACCACAAAAACACTGTAATTTAGTATATTTCCATCACACCATATTTTAACACAATTTCAACCTCTCCATTTTATATTTCTAGCCACTGCATTAGGCAATGCTAGTGTGCATGCTGCTTTTTATTTATTTAATACAAGAATAGCCTTAAGGCTAATATTTCACTCCACTATTTATACAAAAGAAAAACAACAATTATTCAAAGATAATGCATTTTTATTAATTGCCATTTTTTTTCACTTCTCACTCTCTCTCCTCATTCCTAAACCTTATATTTTTTTTACCTTCTTTAATTGGAAAACCATTTTGTCTGGTTCTGTTCTGCAGCATTTTTGCTACTGCAAGCCAATAATAATAATTTTATTTGAAGTTAATAAACATTATGAGAAAATTTTTTGTGAATTTGCCAAACCCTAGAAAACCACTTAATATCAAAAAAAAAATTGAAACTAGAATGTGATTTTTTTCAGCAACACTATTCTACATTCTTAAATCTTATTTATGCTTCTATTTTAAACAATTGTATCATTTAGAATATGTTAAAAATAAAAGTTCTAACAAACAGACAGCAATCTCAACCAACTTTAACTCGCATAGTAAAATACGAACTTACCATAACATTGTAGAGAATATAATATATTACTACATCTGCTAATGTTTGATAATTTCCTACAAAGTATGCTCCTGAAGAAAGTACATCATTCAATTCCTGTAATAAAAACAAAGTCAAGATAACATCCAAACATCAATGTCACAAATGTTTCAAAACAATAACACTTACTTCAAGAACTCGTCGAGATGATGATGATTCAAGACATCTACCATAACAAGCAATATATTCTATCCATTGCCTCACAACAACTTCATCCTCTATATTTCTTCCAAACTGTGGAGTTTTACTTAACTTTGCCAGTGATAAGACAATTGTTGCAAAACCGGTTACAGTACTGTTGGACAGAGTTGCAGAGATCTACAAAATATTTTTAAGTCATTAGTTTGGTTTTCCCAATTGTTCATGAGCTTGCAATCAAATCAATAACGTTGCAAATCAAAATATTTAAAATACAACTAAAACGAAATATAATACATTTATTTAGGTGGCAACTGAATGACAACAATACAAAATAATTTAGAGACAAAGTTCTGGTTTAGGAGAAATCACCTTTCTTTCTTATGTATGAAGTTCCAAGTAGCACACACACACCTAACCCAAAATTTTAAAAGAAGTTCAGTAGTTTTCACGCAAAACATATATTACAGTTACTAAACACGTGCTAGCTCAATTAGTGTAGGTTATGTTATAATGAAGTTTATGCTTACTTACATTTCCACCAACGTCAAATGCCAATTTTCCCACAGGCGCATTTAAATATTGACTAACTTGGCGAATACATTTTTCATCACAGCCCATTCTTAATGACAAGTTAGACGTGTCAGGGAATAATTTAAGCACGCATGCAAATCTGAAGTTTCAGGATCATTCAGGACACTAAAACAATAGAAGAAACAAAACACTATAGGCTCAGTAGTTCAGGGTAAGCAACGTGAAAAGCAAAAAAATAATCTATAATCATGTTCTCAGAATTTTTTGTCATATTCTTAATATGCAATATTTTACGATATGTAGTTTTCATGAAGATAAAAATCGGTGCGGAACTTTGGCGAATTAAACGGTTTGATTTAAATATTTCCAATTTTTAAACGAGGACTTTTATTTACGTATTACGTATTATAGTATCTATAATGTTGCTCACACGTTCCATTCGCGGGCTATATGAAATTCCGAATGGTCACTTCGTAGTCCAAATGTACCTTGCTCGCTTATTCTTCGACAGAATCTTACTCCATTACTTCCGTTGCACTAATTAAAATGGTTGATTTGAAGCAAACCTATCAATACATAACATTTTATTTATTTCTCTAAAATGATGATTGATACTAAGCACTCTTGTATCAATCAATTGTATCACAGCGGAAACAGAAATGAAACGCGACCCCTCCCCCACTACCCGACCCGACCAGGTATTTGTCCGTTTTCTCTAATGCGTTGCTATAATACTATAAAGGCCCATTGTTTTGTGTCTGGACATAAATGTAGCTTCACCATGCGCACGTTTTGTTGAGCTCTCCGTTTGCTAGTAGTTGTACGAGTAGAGCTCGGTGTGTGTTCTATTTTCTTAGCAGTACAAAAAATCAAATCCGCCGGGCGTTTACAGATACAAATAACCCGGAAGAGAAAATATCTAGTCTTTCAAATGTTACTAATCTCGCGGTTGTGAAGATAATACTTATCCCTCAAACATCATATACAGTTTTTACTATTTTTAACTGAATAAATAAATTAAAACGCCAACGTGCACACAAAGTAAGCCAAGAGACCATGTAATATATACCTGCAAAAAATTTCAAAATAATTTTACATTTGAATGATTTTGTTTTTGATTTGAAACAATGTTACCGGGAAATGAATCTGGACATTTGTAATTTATTTAGTGTCAACGAGACAGTTTTACCCCCCCCCCCTTCCTCCAGAAAATAAAATAAATTATGGACTCGATACTTTGTCGGCGTTTTGAAAATATTTTATTTTTATAAACTTAATGAAATCATATTAAATGTACCTATTGAATAAAATTTGTGAAACATGTGCGACATTTTCAAATTCACCCAAAACTATTACAAATCTGTGCATGTATTTAACGAACGAATTCGAGACGAATCCATGAAGGAATTTCGATGCTATCCTGAAAGGTACCCAATAAAAACTCGCTGCCCCCTAAAAAAACTTGAAAATGCGTCAAAAATAAAAAAAACACGACCGAATATAGCAAAAACGTCTAAAAATATACGAAACACTACAGAAGAAATACGACTACAATGATAAGCAAAAAATACATTTTAAAAATGTACTGAATATTGTTGTAAAAGTAAAATGTTACATGTAAATAAAACAAATAGTCAAGGGAGTTTAGAAATGAAGTTAGCTTCTGGCACACGCTAATGGGAATACTAAACAATTATTTAAACAAAAAATAATGTTCCTGTTGCGTGAGGAACATGAATACAAATACAAATATTCATATGATTTTTACTACTTTCATTGGTACTCCCAATATCGAGGCAGGTAAAATTATATTCTATTATTAATATGTTCTATAAAATACTTTCGCATTTATCTCTTTTTTCTGTCATTCTTGAAACTAGTCAGAACAATAGCATACCTTTCTTGGTAATTCCACAATCTACTGATCTCTTTGAATAGTAGTGGATATATGGAAAATGGTAAAATATATTTTGAACTTTGTTTCATACACTTTCTTCTTCGTCCTCGATACTTATTGGAGATCATACATCAGGATGGCACAGTCTCTCTTATCGTTTACACCAACAATTAGTGTCAGCGTCCTCTCTGCAATTAGAAAAATCATGTTCCTTTCAAGGACATTCAATTTTTGGATAGATCTTATGGTATAATATGGAAACTCCTCAGAAAGCAATAGAATCTTTCTTTAAGACCTCAACACAAACAAGAGAGTTTGCTGTGTGTGAATATTTATTGTTTAATTGTAGTTCGACTAGGCATTTCTTATTAAACTATTCTATAATAATTATTGCTCACAACATTATGAGTGCTGTAAGTAAAGAACTGTTTTACTGATGTACAGACTCTCGAATTAAAAGCGAGTAAGCAAAAGTATTCACATACCCAAGCGGTACAAGTCCCAAGGAACACATGACACAAGGGGCAGTAATGTCGTACGCTGTGGCAACATGGCATCAAATGCAGCATCCAACAACACCTGAAAAACGCAGTACCTCAAATACTACTCAGAGACCAGAACTCTACTCGAAACAGTATAACAAACGGAACACACTCAGACTTTCAGAATATGGGCAATCACGAACATAATCCTTAAGAAGATTTGGAGCCGAGGGATTTCGATCACAACAGTTTTATCGGTCGATTCGATATCGGCCATAGACACCGATTTTTACCGAGACGAATGAAACGGAACGGGTCAAATTGACACTTATACAGAACGTGTGTAGATCCTCAGGTTTCCTCGTGGAAGGAAAGGGATGTAACTTTTGTTGCATTCACCATTATTTTCACGCTTATTTTCAATAATCATATCATTCGTTGACTACAATAGTGGCACAACTCCAAAAATCAAATGTTGAGGTAAATGAGCTAGAGGTTTTCACCTTACATTGAAATGCATAATTCTTGCATTCACACTTCTGCCATTTGTTGTTGGAATAATGTATTGTAAGATATGCTCTGCTTGAAGGTAAACCAATTCGCAATTTTGCATTAACTCAAAATTCGTATTTTTTTACTTGTGTCACTGTTGTAGCCCACAAGCGATATATTGTTTAATTTTTGCGTAGATTTTATTTCACGCTTAATTCTGTTAGCTTAATTCTGATAACAGATGTATTTATAAATTCTTTTATGCTGAAAGTGTACATTCATTATTTTCAGAGAAAAGGTTTTGCACAAACCGATTAAACGCTATTAATAATATTTTATCTATTTCTCCCTCCCTACATTCGTGAACCTTGCTTACCTTTTCTGCTATTTAAGTCACCGAGAAAAAAGTTTTCCTTTCTTGAAAAGGCCTCTGTCAATTTTGAGTAAAACTCATCTTTAATAATTCCCTCTGCGTCATTGGTAGGAGCTTATACACCTAAAACTACAACAATATAAACTCTTATATTCTTTATCAGTATTACGATATCTTGAAATATATTTCTTCGACTGACTATTTACTGTAAAAAACTCGCAACGTTGCCCTTTGATTTTGTTGGCAGGGTAAAAATATAGATATTCCTCTTTGTTCATTAGCTCTGCCTTTTTCTTTTGTTTGTGATCATGCACTGATCTACATTGTGCTTGCCAATCTCTTGAAAAAATGTCCCTATACTGTGCCAAGACCTTGTACGTTCCAAGCTGCCGTGTATAATGTCCTTATCACCCTTTTCGACGTATATTGTTTTTTTTACGAAATTGTAACTCATAACCGTATGATTGTTGAAATTATTAGCATTTGCATATTTTACTGATGATGGGGATCTGGCCCATTGTCCCAAAGCCAACCTGGAGGACCAGAAATTTATTTTTTGGAGTTACTTTCCCCTCTTCAGGTTGGTTTCCTTCCCGCCTATAGAATCCTTTCCTTAGGAATTTGGAGGAAATAGGAATTTATTCCATATTCGAGATAGGACAAGGATAAGTATAAGAAAGAAAAACTAGTGACTTGTTCAATAGCTTCTAATCCATACCTTGATTCCTGGTGGTGGGGAAGGTAACGCAAGTATAACAAGAAGAATATTCTTGAGGAATCGGGAATTAGTTGCCTCTTACGAGAGGCGGAAGACCTGTGGTGCCAAAAAACCCGGACATCACATGGATATGTACCACATATGACGGGACACCAGTCGGGAATCTAGAGCTTGTCTCGGTTGGGGCTTTGCCTCGCTGGAGGGAGTACCTGAAGGCGGGAAATGCTTCACAAGCCAACGTCGGCATCAGATTTTAGCATCCAACCCCGCCACCAACCGCGATTGAACTTTCACAACTCTAACGGGACTACAGACCATTTACGTGTCCAGAGTCAACCAATCCTGATCAGAGACGCAGCAGCTGCAGCAACGGATGTTGCCACTGAGCCATCCCAGCCCTTCGGGAGGGGAAGGGGAAGCGGAAGTGGAAGATGGCGCTTACCACACGGGCGGCACCATCCACGAGACGCCGAGGGAGCGGCGGCGGAAACCGTGGTTCACCGTGGTGCGCACCTGCGCCAGACAGCAGGGGCACGTCACCAGCTGCGACCGCCTCCCCAACACCGTGGAACCTGCCACAGCGGCCTAGTATCGTTCACATAATACAAAGACGGGAGTTTTATCGCGTTCCGGATTGTATTCTAAGTGAACACTCAACAATCTTCCATTCTGAACGATGGCTGCCGCCTAGCTGTAACCAGCATGTTTTGCAGTTTTCATATTTTTTAGACCATGTTGTGAACATTCATGGGTGATCTACGTTGATTGGGTAAGACCCACTGAGGATGGGAAAAGTGTTTTCCCGAAAGTTAACTCTGGATAATAATAAATAGAAATTATTAAACCTTTTGTGGAGATTATTTCCTTTACCATAGAATATTTTTTAGTTAAATAAATCAATTAATTTATGCAAAACATCAAAAAGGTCCATCAAATCAACTTTTGAGGGGTGCGACCAGAAAAACCTCTATTGGTAATGCATGGGGTGACGTCTCAGATTATCTTAGTGTCAATGTACCTCTTCATAAGTGTAGGGGCTATACGCCTAGTTCTCCGGCGATCCAAGAGCAAATGCTGAAATCCTGCAGTGTGGTTTTACTTCCCTTCCCACTTTTGCTACAAACTCTCTAAGTAGAATGCAATATACCACTGTACCAGCGCAATAACTCACTATGTGTGTATGGCGGCGGGCCCGAACAACAGCCCAACGTGTACTCCATCATGTCCAAGTCGTAGTCTTCTTGCAGCCCCTCTGACGGCACGCAGTAATATTTCTTGATCAACTGATACCTCTCGATGCCCTGAAGGCGCTTCCGAATGTCCTGGCGCGGTAGGTCGAGATCCCATACTGTAAAAGAAATGAGTTTTGTGTTACTTATCTCTGCTAAACTTTCATTCATTCATTCATTCATTGACTTCTCCTGTTTCCGTGCGCGTCAACTGCTATGGTCCCGTAAGTAAAATGAGTTAAAATTAAGATTAGCAAGATACTTTTTAGTAACATATTTGTATAAATAATAATCTCCTAAATAAATTCCTTAATAGTATATGATTATATTTTATTAATTGAATACATAGTACAACAAAAAACCGTCTAAATATAAATCTTGTTAAATCGGAAGTTCACGGTGCCATCTTAAATAAAATCTCTTTCTGTGACATCGTAGTAAAATGTTCTAGTTAATTTTTTGGAATGTAATATTTTTCTCACCCTTTTTAATTTTGAACTAATATTATTAAATAAATCAAAATTCCAATACTTATTCCATAATTTTATTTCATTGAAAACAATGTAAAAGGAGTGTAATATGGTTTACATGACGTGATGGAATTGAAATGTATCTAATTATGATTGTCCAAAATTTAAAACGACTGAAAAATAAAAATAATATAAAGTTATGATAAGGGACAACCAAACAAAAAATTGTTCAGATTTATGTTAGTAAAATACGATCTTTAATAATTAAAAAAATCATGTTATTTTTCTACTCGAGTTTTAAATGTTTTATGTCAGATATGAGGACTTTAAATTTTTCAGGATTGGGATTAAAGAAAATTCATATTCCTCTAATTTTCCCTTCCTTCTAACTTCGTCAGTTTCACTAAGTTTTTTTTATTTTATTTCATTTTTTTTTCAGAAACACTTCACATTGCTCATATTCTTGTCGGTCATGACACATCGCTGTCCAGAGTTGATTGTGTTGTGACTTATATAATTCAGAACGGTTACCTTCTACTATATTGCAAATAATTAATAAAAGCAACATATTTAATAACATCAAAAATTATCTTACATGTTCTCTTGCGTTGCGACAAAATTACATCAGTTGGTACTGACATTTTTGTAAATGATTTTGAAGTTCTAATGATACTTCCGTCTTCACTCCGAACCGTTGACGCTCGACCTATTTCTATGATGGACACTGAACCGGCGCGATGCACTGAGGCCAGGTCAGACGAAGAGCTGCGACGGACATCGTCTTCCATGATTAGATAGGTGTCGATATGTCTCCTGAGGGAAAATTGACGTTTGTTAGAGTCCTACGTTTTCTTGACAGTCCAGCCTACTACGTTTAAAAGAGTTCTTTTGTTCTCTTCATTATTGATAAGCAAATTATTTCAATACAATGTCTTTGTACTATAACAATGAAATCGTCGTTTATAAACTGATGTAAAATTTTAATTAAATCCTTGACAAAATATTTTTTTTAATCGAGAAAAAAGATTGCCGAGTTTGTTTGTAGAGCGAGCGAATAAAACATGTTACCAGATGGCTTTAAAATCCCAATTAAATTATTGGATGGTGTGAAACATAAAATATACCAAATAAGATGTTGTATGCTCATATTAAGCATAAATGGTCATACGTGAACCTTTATAAATAAAGTTAGAATGCCCTTCATTTCTAAATAAGCTGTCTTTTACAATATATAGTTGTATGCATGTTATAAAAACAAATTAAAATGATTTTACTACTTGTATTTGTGTGTTTGTTCGGGAACGGCTAAACAGATTTTTATGACGTTTTTACTGGATGGTAGAGTATTATTTCGGTCACAATTTAGGATACTTTTCTCAGATAATTAGTTTCTATTATGAACAATAGAATATTTGACTGTTTTATTCTGACCTTAATGAAATGTCGGGCACATGGCCAAGTTCATTAGTTTCGTTATTTCATTTTATTATAGAAACATTACCCATGACCACAAAAAGTTACTGTTAACATAATATTTCGTAAATCATAATATTTCGCAAGCTTTTTCCTAAACCTGAATATTTATTTAATAATAAGCATCATAAGATACTTTCTGTTTTACAAGATGGGAGAATTATCAAAGGAAGTCGTTAAGCCTAGTTTGTTTCATTGAGTCATAAGTAAGAAAGTGTAGTGCACGTTTTTCTCGTGGGAGGTGGAGGTGATCTTCCTCCGCGAGAAGGCGAGATCCAGCGTCGACCTACCTGTTGACTTGCGGTGGTTTCCCTCAACCAGGTATCTCCTCAAGCAGAGCACCGCCCCAGCCGGGACAAGCTCTTATCTCATGGCTGTTCTTCCGGCATGTGTGGTAGTGTAGTGCATGTAAGCATGGAGGATTACGAGTTACGGCCGGTGGCCCGTTTGTAGGATACTGCTCCGGCATTCACCTGGCGTTAATCGGAGAAACCACGGAAAACTACCGATCAGAGCAGTCCGTCCTCTAGAATTCTCCTTCAGGCAGGAGAAGATTCATCGACCTTCGTAAGAAAATGTAAGTACAAAAATCAGTTGGGCAAATTAATTATTGAATATTCTTTTAATACTGAGGAAAAATCTACATTACTTATAATCAGAATGAAATTTTATTTCGCCCATACCATACAACAGTAAACTGTTGAAATAAATGCCAACAAATATTATAGCATAAGAATTTAGTAATGTACCATAGTTACGAGCACAATTACATAAATGTTTTCATGAATTCTATATGTTAAAATCAATACACGGAAATTGAGAGTACATGAACACATACGTTTGCATCTATACGAGAGATTTAGTAAAAGTGATTCAGTATCGATCGTTTATCTCGAAATAGTGGATGTCACGGATCGTACGTTGTTTATAATGGTACTTAAGAATCAATCAGGGTCGTCACTTTTGTTCCTTATACGATTGCCACGAACTTACTTCAACATCATAAAAATTATAAATTTGATCCTCATATCTAGGGTGCGAAACAGTAAATTCCTGCAGGGGGGGATAAAATTCCAGTGATGAGCTAATCGACGAGTGAAACAAAGACCATCATTCTTCAATTACTTGGCACATGAGGAAGAAATCAGAAGAACGATCTTGGGAATGTTTTCTTTTCAAATTCCCTCGATACTAATTCCTTGATTTGACCATTTCGATGTGGAAATAATAAACAATGCACTTATGTACGATTAATAGTGTTCCTACGAGGCACATGATTTCTAGTCTTCCAGCAGGGACACCTGCAGAGGGGGGCAATCCTCTCTCAATTTGCACCCTGCTCATTTCCCTCAAACAGCCATTGACTAGCAAGGTAGCCTTGTTGGTCGAACGAGGCAGGGCGGAGGGGAGAGCCGGCGGGCGCGGGCCACCAGGGTGGGCCGCCTGAGGAAGAAGCAGCTCCACAGGATGTGGGTAGTCCCGCCGCCCCGCCCCCTCGCCTGCTCCTAACCACCAGGTCGTTACGCTCCCACAGGATCGCCCTATCGCCAGCCACCCAACCGATGGCAATACATACATACATACATACATACATACATACATACATACACACACTATATATATATATATATATATATATATATATATATATAAATGAATAAATAAATATAAATACCGTTTGTGGACAGCAATAGTAGCACAACTAAATACTAGTGGTGCTACAAGTGACACATACTTTCTCGTAGTAGTTTCCTATTTTCCTTGGTGTGGACTGGTATTTCCGTCTTGCCAGCTGTCATCTTTCGCCGCCCAAAGTACATTTTTTGGTATGTTCTCAATTTTTCGTTTTTCTACGTAATAGTTAATGCCAAATATAAGAGTAAAACATCTTCCTGAATAACAATTTTCATTGAACAATTTGGAGCCTTTTTAAGAAAATTGCGTTTAAGCGTTGCTGGAAATGCGAAATTTAAAGCTCTTTTTCACAGAAACTTTTTGAGTTTTCAAAAAACTTCATTTAAAAGTCAGTTGAAGCAGTTTAACTCATAAACGCAATAGTGTTTACAAATCTCTAAAAATGTGCATATTAGCGGCGTGAGTGATATTTCAACAAAATTACAATTTTGTAATTTTTGAAAAAAACGAAAGAATACCCCAAAATAAACTATAGATCATGTTAAACAGTAAAGCTAGCACTTTCCATTTAAAACGTTTGAAGAAAGAATTGGAGAAATTTTTGAGAAAATGGCATTTGAGCCTTTCTGAAAAATGCGGAATTTCCAGCTCATTTTCCACTTTTGAGTTTTCGAGAAACTTTATTTAACATCATTTAAAGCACATGCACTCATAAAGACAATGATGTTGTAAATACAATGATAACATTGCCATTAGTATAAAAATGAACAATGCGAGAAGCTAGTCAATAATATTATATGTTTGTATTTTTTTACAAAAAAAGAATACAGCAAAATTAATGTTCTCTCATCTTAAACATTGCCATTAGCACTATCCGTATGAAAAGTTTTGAAGTACATATTTGGAGCAGTTTTTAAGAAAATGGCGTTTGCAGGTTTTTTAAGCAAACTTTTGAGTTTGTGTGAAAACGTTATAAAGCACATATACTTGTAAATGCAATGATGTAAACAAATCGCCGCTAATGTAAGTATTGACGACGTGGGAGACAAGTCAAATTAAATTTTGGTAATTTTTTAATTAACAAAGGAATAGAGCAATATGGTGTTTATGTCATCTTACAGAGTGCATTTAGTACTATCTCTATCAAGAGTGTAAGGACAAAATTTGAAGCCGTTTTTGAGAAATCTTTTTTTGTAATGTTTTAAAATTTGCAAATATTGCACGCAATATTGCTCGAAAACTACTCAAATTTTCAAAAAAATATAAATAACCTAAATGAAAGAACTAATTATGGATAACAAATTAAATGAAGATTAATAGGATAAAATGGAAATATGATTAAAAAAATCAAACATTTGCAATTTGCGAAAATTCCGAGTTAACCGTGAAAATCGTACCTATGCCATCTCTATAAGCGTATTATACTCTATTCTTACCAGAAATTTAAAGAAAACATTTGAAGTCGTTTTTGAGAAAATATGGAATATGCCCCAGGGGCTTCATGTAAAATACCTATAAAGTTTAAAGAATATTTTTCAAAATCTACAAGCTTCGACTCGAGCCAGATTGAGAGGGGTTTCTTCAATTTGGAAAAAAGTCCGTGAAAATCTCGAAATAGAGTTTCCGTAGCATTACATAACTTACTCCTATACTGCATGTATTACTCCGTATATATGAGCGGATGTGGACGGGTACGGATAAAAGCAGATGCTGAGATAAACAAGTTTCAAGTGTTCACTTTACTGAAATGCACCATTCTTGCATTCACACTTATGCCATTTGTTAGTGGAGCACTGAGATGTAGGATTGTTGCTGTTTGTGCTTTAAGGTAGACCAATCTGCAGTTCTGGAGAGGGCATAACTCAAAATTCGTATTTTCTTAGTTGTGCTACTACTGCAGCTCAGGAGCGATACAAGTCATTCGAAAATGGTTTGCAATAGCGCTAAAGTTTGGATACCGAAGAATGTGCTTGACCTTGTTGGATGACCGACTACTACCCCACTTACGACTGTCTTTGCTAAATGAAACACGTAGCCACAATAAGCGCTATTTTCTCGACTTTTGGTCATTTGAAATTAATTCTGTACCTCAGCGTGCGTACTTTTTTCAGGGAGGACTCATTGACAGGTACCTAGGTGATAATAGTACAATTGATGGTGCCACAGTAATCTCCATTAGGAATCGCAACCACAATTTTCTCATGAAGATATGAAGATGTCGCGATTTGATTTACAATGTCCAGAGGTGGAAAGTTAGTACTATGGCCGCTAAACTGCGAATTTGGTGTAGATAAAATGGTGGGCCATTGCGGATCATTTAATTCATGGAGGTTCCGAATCGTTCCCTAAAGCTGTTCCTTTCGCCAATCCAGTCGCTGCTCCTGTCGCCTTTTCCCAGTCCTCTTTTCTGCCTGTTCCTATCGATGTTAGTCCCTGGCACTTTCTTTGTTTCTGTGCCTGTCGCGTATCCTGCAGTCGTCGCTGATGCCGTTTCCGTCACCGCTTCTGTCGCCGTCCCTGTCGCTCCCCTTGCTGCTGCCAAAACGTCGATCGTGACGCCGTACCTGTCGCCGATCATGTCGCCGTTTGTGTCTTCGCCCCTGCCGTCTCTGACTTCGTTCCTGTCGTCGTGCCTGTCGCCGTTTGTGTCGCTGCCATGTCTCTGTCCTCGCTGTCCCCGCCGTCGTCTCTACCAAAACGACTAC